AAATCAAATTCAGTATCTCCGAAAATTCGAATATTACTTAAGACCAATACAAAAAAAGGATTTTTAGAAATGTTGGCCAACTGAAAAGTATGAACATGAAAAGTATGAGCATGTACAGCACTCAATAAAAAACCTTGGACCTCAGAAAACCCAGTGGGCCAACACCAGCAGATGACATGGCACCCCAAACCATCACTGACTGTGGATACTTTACACTGGACTTCAAGCAACGTGGATTCTGTGACTCTGCTCTCTTCCTCCAGACTCTGGGAAATGCAAAATTTACTTTCATCAGAGAACATAACTTTGGACCACTCAGCAGCAGTCCAGTCCTTTTTGTCTTTAGCCCAGACGAGACGCTTCTGACGCTGTGTCTTGTTCAAGAGTGGCTTGACACGAGGAATGCGACAGCTGAAACCCATGTCTTGCATATGTCTGTGCGTGGTGGTTCTTGAAGCACTGACTCCAGCTGCAGTCCACTCTTTGTGAATCTCCCCCACATTGTTGAATGGCTTTTGTTTCACAATCCTCTCCAAGGTGCAGTTATCCCTATTGCTTGTACACTTTTTTCTACATCTTTTCCTTCCCTTGGCCTCTCTATTGACTGTGCTTGGACACAGAGCTCTCTGAACAGCCAGCCTCTTTAGCAATGACCTTTTGTGTCTTGCCCTCCTTGTGCAAGGTGTCAATGGTCGTCTTTTGGACAGCTGTCAAGTCAGCAGTCTTCCCCATGATTGTGTAGCCTACATAACTAGACTGAGAGACCATTTAAAGGCCTTTGCAGGTGTTTTGAGTTAATTAGCTGATTAGAGTGTGGCACCAGGTGTCTTCAATATTAAACCTTTTCACAATATTCTAATTTTCTGAGGTTTTGGGTATTTCATTAGTTGTCAGTTATAATCATCAAAATTAAAAGGAATGAACACTTGAAATATATAAGTCTGTGTGGAATGAATGTATACATTATACAAGTTTATCTTTTTGAATGGAATTACTGAAATAAATCAACTTTTTGATGATATTCTAATTATATGACCAGCACCTGTACTCTTACTGCATTCCGTAATTTACTTGTGAAAAGAAGTTCCTGAAATTTCAGTGCTCCAATTTACGTTGTTCACACAGTAAAACTGGTACGTGAGACACACTGACCAGTCTGTAATTGATGTACCAGCCCCCTGAACCAATTTTGCTAAAATACAAGCACATTTCTTGCTTTACACTCAGCTTGCAGTTTTACAGTAAAACCACATTCAAAACACTACACACTTATCTGTGCGCATATTCGTAAACATAGTGTACGTAAATGTTCTGCTAAGATTTTCTATATATACAGTATCTGTCCAGCTACTGCAGAAATGCAGGATGTTTGCAGTCAATCTGTTCTGAATGTGTTTTTAACAGTTTTGGACACAGTGTGTTAGCATCTGAAAAATGTGCTGCAGATATATAGTGTTTTGCAGGTGGTGAAGTTGTAATGGGAAAAGAGTTCATGGATTTTGGAGAAAGTGGTCATTGAATGCATTTTGTGTGAAAGCAATGAAAAATGATTCAGTTTGCTCCACATCCACTTCTGTTTCGCTGACTGTGTGAAGAGTTTTGACAATGTGACTTCAGTTTTGACCAATGCAGGTTAGCAAGTGAAAACTATTATTATTATTATTATTATTATTATTATTAGGCCTAGTAAAAGTAGCAGTATTATTTTAGTAGTAGCCTAGTAGTAGTAGGGCCAGGTCTGGTGTGCTTTCTTACTCCATTCTTAATCCAACCTTGGGCTCAAGCTGATGATCCACGGAGCAACTTTTTGAGCAATGTTGCTGGGTAATCTGCTGGTGGCAAGTCCAACTATGTTTTGAACGGATAGTGGTGGTGCGGGGCAGGTGGCGGAGTGATGGGGGAAGGGGATTACGGTAGTAATCTTTACTCATTACCACTGACAGCAACATTGCCCAGTACCATTTTTATTTTGGATTGCTTGGTGCAAACCAATGGCAATCCAATACGAATAGCCTAAAACATGGTGGAAGAAAATATTTTACTTTACATGCAAGCAACAAATCAAGTCTGGTCATATGTGACTGCAGGTAACAGCTTGACTGAACTATCTGTATTGTGTTGGGGGAGGGAAATGTTCTATGCCTTCTTGAGAAGTGAGTTATCTGAAAGAAATTAACTTATTGAAGTGAGGCGGTTGTAGTTAGATGTGGAAACTGTTTAGCTTTTTCTCCGAACATTGCTGCCCTAAATTGGAACCTCCTTTAAGGTGAGTCAGAGCTGTTGAGAAAGTCGGGCAAGAGTGCCTTGTTGCATGCCCGCATGTTGGGGTTGGCAGTAGTGTTCAGGAAATAGCTTGTTTGGGCATGTGATGATGATGATTCCTGTTCTACCAACATGCTACTAGCTCCAGACTTGAGCTGACCATGGTGCTGAAATACAAATCGAGGTATAGGAGCAGATTTTACATCCGCAGTGAACTTACAGTGATACTATCTGACCTGGACTCTACTAGTTTACAACACAGTGTGTAAGGATCTGTAGGGTGACTTGAGGGTTCAGGATGGTACAGGATCCTATTAGTTGCATAAAAAGTAGTACATTTAAAAAACAAATCAAGATGACTCTTAGTTCAGATATGGGTTTTTACTAAATAAAGTACATTTATTTCTAAATTTAGGTTAATGTGACACAGTAAATCACTGTGTTTTATACAGTTTGTGTCCAGCCTTCTCAGCTATGGCATATCCTCACATATCTGAAAAGTAATGTTTGGGAACCCCTCTCTAGACCACACAGCCTAATTAAAATGTTGAAAACTGACATATTGTAAATGTCACCCTATAGCCAAACATGCAAACCTCAGGCTCCCTTCAGATTGTTTTCCAGCATGAAGAGGGTGTGTGTGTGTGTGTGTGTGTGTGTGTGTGTGTGTGTGTGTGTGTGTGAAGCTGGGAACTGCTGGAAGGACAGAAGGAAGAGTGGAGGAAGAGGAAGGGGCGGTGGGATGAAGGAGAAAAAAAGGGGTATGCACGTCATTCTAACACGCAATGATTGGTGGGAGAGGGGAGGAGGAGAGCGCACACTCATACTGTGAAGGGTTTCATACAGTACTATAAAATGCTTCTTCAGACTTGCATTCATAATTTCTTACAACAAATAGCCTATATCTTGACCCTCATCATACACTATAGAAAGGCCTATTTCCTTTTTCTGCAATATTTTTGAATGAAGCTTTTTCATAAATGTATATTTGTCTTGTCGTTTTATACTCTGGTTTACTGCATTGACTTTTTCTGATGATGAAGATGTTCTACTATTTGTTCCACTTTTTCTCTATTGCTCCTTGAAAAACTGAAATTGTTGGGGCTACGTGATAAAGACTCCAGACTTTTTTTTGTCTTTGCTTGTTCTTGCAAAGACAAGTTGCCTTAAAGCAGCAGCAGCAGAAGAACTTCAGTCCACGAACATTACATGTAGCCTACCCCATGTCCTTGTATATGGGTCTGACAATGTATTGCAGATGAAATTGAGCTTTAAGCTAACTCTTGTACAATACATCAAATGGCAGTACTTATGTTTAATTTTGTAAATGGTTCTTTAAAAAATGTAATAAGTATTCAGAACTTTAAAAGTTATCGAAAGTACCATAATATGCCTTCCGTTTTCGTCTTAGTCTTACTATATTTTTTTTTAAATCAAGCTGAAACTACAGTTATAGTTTTTGTGTTATTTGGTCAGTTGAGATGCTTACATCTTAGAAGCACTTTCTAAAGAAAACCAATTAAAATCCCCTTATTACATTCATTATCCTTAAACCAAAATTCCAAAAGTGAATCCCGGAAAATTCACAAAACCAATCCATCCATCCATTAACAACTTATAATATAATGTATTGCCTATACGCTATTGACTTATCCCAGATTTTAGTTGAGTCCTTGTAGTTTCGCTTGAATTGAAAAGGAAGGCTACAAATTATAAGGGGTAATGTAGTCTAGGCTACATGTTGATTCTACAGTTCGCAGATTTTCCATGCGTTTTGCCGCTTGCAAGAAATGCAAATAATCAATTAAACCACTTTTATAGGCTAGGCCTATATTATAATCCATTAGTTCACCCATAGGCTACATTTTAGGCGGGGCTGGTTCACCTTATCCGGGATATAAAGCTGTCATTTTCAGGACTAAATTTCTAGGCCTATGTTATATTATTCCAATAACGTGAGTTGTTATGGTCATACTAAACCCACAATGCACCCTTGAGGAACCCTTTATTTCTTATGTGTGTTATCGGCTGACGTGAGCGCGCATCTTAACGGTGAGTGGAGCCCCCATTCTCAAATGAGGGCTGCGCGCTCCCGCAGCAAGAGAAGTGAACGCGCTTGAGGGGCTGCGGTCCCATTGACGGTTCCGTCTCCCTGACAGCAGCATCAGCATCAGCGGCGGCGCTGGAAAACAAGAAGTCGCCGCCTCGTCACATAGCCAGCCCACCGGACCGAGCAGAGAGCCGCCTTCAGGGGACCCCCCTCTCTGCCTGGCCTGAAGGAAGGAAACGAGATCCCCCTCCCGTGTGTCACCGACCCGACCGACCGCCGGAGATATGGGCTCCCCGTAAAACGGAGGTGGCGGTGGGGAGAGGAGGGCGGGCGGGCGGTGGGAGGGGGGTGGGGGGAGAAGACAGCGGAGCAGCAAGAGGGTGAAGGAGAGGCTGATAACGGCAACCGGGAACCGAAGCGCTACCACCACCACCGTCACCGCTGCTACTACTACCGGAGCTAGCACCGACACCGCTGCTGCTGCTGCTGCCGCCGCCGCCGCCCTGGGTGCCCCCCGCCACCGCCATGGGAACTCCGCATCAGTCGCTCCAACCGCCGCTTTTTCTGTGGGCCATGTCGTGATCCGTGGGCTCCGCCAGCGGGTTTCCCATCCGTGATCCCGACCGAGGCGAGGAGGAGGAAGAGGAGGAGGAGGAGGAGGGGGAGGAGGAGGGAGGGAAGGTGGTGGTGGTGGGGAAGATGTTCGCCTCGGTGGGCCCTCGGGGCGGCCCGCGCCCACCCGTGGCCCCGACCATCCCGGAGCCGGACCTGAGCCATCTGACGGAGGATGAGAGGAAGATCATCATGGCTGTGCTGGCTCGGCAACGGGAGGAGGAGGCGAAGGAGGAGGCCATGTTAAAGTAAGAGATAGAGAGGAGAAAGATAGAGAGAGAGAGTGAGGGAGTGTGTGTGTGTGTGTGTTTGTGTGCCTGTGCGTGTGCGTGTGTGAGAGAGACTGGGCTTGGGCTATTTCCGTTCTGAAGTCCATCCACCTCTGTTCTCTCTTATGGATGAAATGTTGGATGTGAATGTTTCAGCATCACTCCACTCTATCTGTCCATGCATGCATGTCTATGTGTGTGTGTGTGTGTGTGTGTGTGTGTGTGTGTGTGTGTCTACATCATACAGGTACCACCACACAGAACTCACTCACTCACAGGCCCACAGCTGTGTGGAAGAGAAAGCATGCATGGGCCAGTGTGGACCAAGTGCACGTCCAGTTTGCAGTCTCTCACTGCTCCTGTGAGAAGGCTCAGCGAGTGTGGAGCTGGTGGGTCAGGTGGAACTTGCTCAGGAGGGAGAAAGAAGAGGATGGTGGGAGGATGAAGCGGCGTGCCCCTTCATCAGCAGCGCCACACTCCCCTCATATGAGAAATAAGAACTCTTTTCTCATCTGCACTTGTCTCCCTAACATCATCATTAACACCAATGCCTTAGTCAAGTGGCAAATATTTGGACTTCCTCTGAAGTATTTTATTTATGGATGCAGCAGGAAATTGCAGAAGTCTCACTGAAGCCTGGCATTGAGAGTAGTAAGAGTAAAACCCTCCCTGTTGGCTTTTATCTGTGCAGCATCCATCTCAACAGCTGCTGTTCTCAGCTCTGGGGTGCGGTTGAGCCTTTCCCAGCCGTATGCACTGTATGTAGGCCAGTGCTCTTGCAACAGACATCACACAGGCTGTTATAGAACCAGTAGGCCTATAACGGGGGGGGGGGGGGGGGGGAAGGTGCCTGTGCCATGTCATTTTGAATCAAGAGTGTCTTACATTCACTGTGTGAGTCCGCCTCCTCCTCCTCTTTACCACTACCATACATGCATGGAGAAAAGTCTCCAGATTTATTTGCCACTGCGATCGGTGCAGAACCCACATCCACCCGCTTTCCTCCAGGACCGGAAAATGCATCAAGTTGAAACGATGCCTTTGTCATGTTTTCTGCCTGGTCTGCATGGAGCTGCATGCATAGATGGGCAGATGAAAAGATAGACCGACCCACCTAAGCGAGGCGCTCCTCAAGCTTTACGTCTCCTGTTCTATTTTAAGCCCTCTGTGCGGACTGATAGCCCAGCACGGGAACGACGATCGATTCATTGCATCTAAAGAAGGAAATGTCCAATATATATCTCCGGCTCTAAGTGGCTATGCATCATTTTCAGTATTGTATTGGAAGCCGTGGATTCAGTCATGTCATACTGCAAATAAAGCAGGCTGTCAGCGCATACATGTCTTAAACTATATTGGCATTAGCACAGTTTCCTCTCATCGCTGTTTGGATAGAGACTGCCATAGCAAAGCGGTGTGTGTGTGTGTGTGTGTGTGTCTTGGGTCTGCACTGAAAAGCTGCACTGGTTGACTAATACATGCATGGTGAGTGTACTAGCAGTAGGGCAGTGTGGGTTGTAATGCAGAGAGGAGTGAACACACTACTCTTATGAGCATTTTAAGATATACTCACTTTCAGTCTTCTTGCTTTTAAAGCAAATAGGATCACAGTACACATCAGCAGAACTCCCTGCAGAGCAACACTGATGTAATGTTAGATACACTGTGGGTAAATAATGATGCTCTGTCAATAATTATCATCAGGTTAACTGGTTAATAAATAAATTATGAGGTTAATAAAAATGAATTTCATTTACAGAAAGAAAGACGGATAAACTATAAATGATAGTTAACATTTGCTGCATTCCTGCACCTTCTTTAGCCGCCTAAATTCCAGTTACATAAATGGAAATGTAAAGTACAGGAACATATAACAGTAAGCTCCTGCCTACAGCCAAATAACAAATCAATGAGTAGCATTCCCTCACTGTATTCCAAACATACAAATTCACCTTTGGGTATCTTTAAGTATGTGCATTTTGTTGATACAACCAAGCACAAGTCATCAAATTTATTGACAGGTTAGCAGGAAGGAAAGGCCTTTTTACTGCACTGAACTGACGAAACCATGGAAGTAAATTCTTGCATTGCACTGCGATCCCTTCATGTCAGTATTAGCCTTACTAAACACGGCTCAAATTGATCATTTAGAGCTAGTATATATATGTCAGTGTGCTCATCAAAGGTAGAGACAAGTGACAGACTTATCGAAGATGTAAAATGTAAGTATGAGATTTGTATGAAAAATGTTACGTAGGTGTGTGCTGTCTGGACGTATGCTTGCATCACTTTTTTTATGGACGGGATAAGCACGTTGTACTATATCTATATTTTTGTCATAATTTATGTGTTGTACTCTCTATTTGAAATATTTTAGCTGTGCTGGCCTACCTATGATGCATAATACTGATTCAATAATATCAATATTGTTATCTGATATTTAGAAAAAGTAAGATTTCAGCAGTTATAGTAGTTTCCAGAGAGCTGTAAAAACATCTCAGAAAATCATGCAAAACAACTTAAAGTCAGACTTTTTCTTATGGAAAAAAAAAATCTAACCTTAAATGACAATAAAGACCATACCACTGGGGATGCAGTAATCCCCACCTGATACGGTTTCCGATACCTCATTCAGGGAATCTGCAGATCCACTATCCAACACTAGCACTGTTTTTTTCCTTAAATTATATTACATGCTTGTGGAACTGATTGGGGTAATTTTTATGTAAGGTAACATGAGTCCAAGGATTGCTCTACACTAAAAATTGAATTGACAGCCTGTCGTGAATGTATTTTACAATGGAATAATGACATTGCCAAAAATGGTTGGTTTAATGTGGATCAGTTTAATGAGGACACTATTGATGTTGATAGCAATACATTGGATCATCCAGGAACTACAAATCATATAGATTTGAGATTGGATCTCAGCCAAACATTTTGGAAACTACGCTACAATATTGTAGATATTTGAACGCTTTTTCTGTGCAATTTCAGACATTCACTGGCTACCATTCATACAATATTTAATACAAAATTTAAATCTCTTGAGCAAGCTCTTAAAAGTTGCTAGAATTCTGTAATCCATCACAGTGACGTCTAGTTATGTTTGTCTAAGTAATGTTATCATTATAGGGTTACACAGTGCAGACTTTTCATATCAATCTGCACTTCAGCTGCACTGCCATGATGTCAAAAGAATGCGTTCTTGATGTTCAGCATGATGGATTACACAAGCAAGCAAGTTTGAAGAGTTTGCTAATTGATACCAAAATGTGTTGCACACGTCTGAAAATGTCAGCAAACATGTAGAGTATTCATGACTGACCCACTGCAAACACACTGGTATGGTCCTTTAATCTTGCATCCAGTCACCAAACTCCAGTAAGCTCAAACCTAAACGTAATTTAAAGATGAAAAATGTAGCATTAGTACGTCCACAGTATCCTTTACATGTGTAACCCAAATCAACGTCAATCCCTACTTATTTAAAAAAATTCAGTACAGAAAAGGATGGTTATAACTATGAGGCACAAAGAGATCTAACTATTCCCGATGTGCAAAAAGTATCTCATAATGAGAGGGGTACCCACAGTATTGACGATGAAAAGGCATGTCTTCTGTTTTAGACAGCGTGGGTGTTGGCGGGGATTTCTCTCTTGAGTTTCCTCTGTGATCAGACTGATCAGAGCTCACTGTTCATGTTTATGGATGAGATGGTTTTGAATCACGCTGTGAATGTGTCAATGGTCGTATTGAAAACATGTCATTGCTGGGTAAGGCCTGTCATCGCTGCCTAAAGGTATCTCCAACACTGCAATGACAGTCTTAATGAGCATTCTTACCAGTTTAGACTGAATTTGGAGCATTTGCTTTTTTGGTTTGCTTAGTGTGTGCAATGTCATTTGAACTCGTGTTGGTCGGGTGACACAAAATAGCTGTACCGAGATAGCCAAAAATGCAAGATTCTATGCTTTGAAAACAGAAGTTATTAGGAAATCCATTAGGAGTGACAACATAATCAGAACTAACTAGGTTAAACAACCCTAAAACACACGGTTTTATGAGGATACGAAGGCAAATATTCACATTTGAAAGCTAGCAGTTACAGTAGGCTACTCACAGGAAAGCCCATGCAGCATAACAAATTAATCCAGGGCTGTCTGCAATCTGGACTGATGCTCATATTCATCTATTTTATGAACACAAAAGAAGAACAGTTCAGCCTGTTATACTGGTTTGCATGATCACAGGCAAAGTCTCTCCAAAAAACCTGACTTCCCTTAGCAAGCCATTGAAAATTGGGAGGGAGTTTTTAAATATGTAAATAAACTAAATACAGAAACAAAGCAAAGTTAACTCAAACGAAAGATAGAAAGTTAACAGTGGAGTTTTGTGCTAACAGCATTTTCCTAACTTCGTGTGTTTCAGAGAAGAGAAGCCTATCCAAGCAAGAACGGTGAACCTGGTTGGTCAGAAAAAACCTCCGCAGCAAAACGACGTCCGGTGAGTGGCAACAGCTGTTATTCAAGCACCAACTCAATTTCATCCAGTCAATATGGAATTTTAAACTGGCCTAAAATTAGTTTAAAATGGGTCTTAATATTTGTTTTGCACAAGTTTAACGTCACTTTAACCCAGTAGCCCTAAACCTCCAATCAAGAGCTGTTTCTTTGCCTAGCATTCATGTTTTGTTGTGAAATTATACACAGTATAAAAGATAAACTCACGCTATTATCACGCATTATTTGTATGGTACACTGAGTTGAATGACATTGCACAGGCACCTCATTCAGACTTTTTGAGTTAAATTTAGGAAATATGCCTTTGTTAGTGTTACTGAAAATATGTATGTCTCAGCAAGCCGTATACTGTTGAGTGACTTTATATCCTGTCAAACACGCTAAAAGCCAAGTTGCTGCCTGTCATCTATCAGACACCAACTTTATAGCTTCCGCTGTAAAGATGGACAGTGTCCATGTCCAGATCTTATTGAGTCATTAGAGACTATAGCTGATGTTGTCGTTGCTTCCTCTATGGAATTGCTGGCTCAGGCTGGATTCAGACTGGATTCACTTAGATTGACCAACATAGTGAATCAGTAACCAGTTCTATTTGCCTATAGCAAAGCCAAGCTTACGTAATATAAGTCATATTCTTTCAAATGTGTCTGAAATATTCTTATCGGCCATTTGAGTCTGCTGTTCTTTGGTCCTAGGACACATGATATTCAGTCAACTTTTATCTCCATCGCTTTGATGAATATGTGGAGATGGGAGTCAAGCTCCGGTCACACCAGGAAGTAGCACAGTGGGGTTCATGTGCACATCCTTGTGGAACAGGCGTTGCTGGAAGCTTGTGACCACTTGCAGTGTTAGCTGGCAAATCTCTGTGGTAGGCGAGCTAACCACTAGCCAGCCAGGAGCGTGCTAGCCCTAGTCAGTCACAACCGCTGTCCATGCTAGCTGGCTGTTTGCTTCATTGGTCGCTAGCCAGACATAAAAGCTTATTCAAGAGACGTAGCTATTTGTATCATTGATTCTCTGTCCTGTCTAAAAACCATGACTCTTGTGGAGCATTATATAATCTTACGAGCAAGGTTATGGATGAAGCAGCGATTGCAATTGGTCAACAGTGCAAGTTCACTAAAGTTGCACTTGTCATGAAAGATTTGTGGCAGAGTTTAGCTGTTAAATGCTGGTGTAAACAAACATGACTTTATATTTCATTTAAAGTGTTTTTCTTACTCTATAGGTGAGCTACAGCAAGCTAAACAGCTGTCAACAGAGACTACTGCACAGTGAGCTAGCCAAATGTTTTCATAGCTCACACACAAGTTATTTTGACTGACATTGAGGTTATTGTTAAAAATGAAAATAAATAAATAAACGTCCTATGCAAATTACCATATGGAAATAAACTTTCAACGTTGGCAGTGCCAACGTCTTTACTTCTATATTCCTCTAAGCCTGTAAATCGTGGAACGCTTTTATCCCTTTGCAAGCTTGGAAACTAAAATCATACTGAGGTGGTTAGAGGTTAGCTTTCGCTGAACTAACGCCTCCCATCTCATCTCCAATTAGTGGGGATTGGATGCTTGATGGGTTGGTCTGGATCAACTCAGTGATCATCTGTCCTTCACCGCTGTGTGTGTGTGTGTGTGTGCGTGTGTGTAAAGTCTGGTTATTTGATCAGTGGTTGTTAATATAGACTTGAATTGGAAATGTTACTTGAAACAGACTCTGTCGTTTTCACTCTTTGATGTTATATGAGCATCTCAGTCCCCGTTGGCTTATTTGCACGTTGAAATGCGAGTTTCCGTGTATTTCTTTTCGCAGTGACTTCTGCAGCCAGTAATGTATTTTTTCTGCCACACAATGATCAAAGGATAAAGCTACAGTGTGCGCTGAATGTGTGTGTTGGAGTGTGTGTGTGTCTCTGTGTGTTGCTGGATCAGAGAGTGAGGTGGGATTACAGAGTATGTCAGCTGGAGCACATCTGCTTCTCTGAGGAATCCCACAATATGGCCCCCATTTATAACATTATACAATCTGTGCCTTTCCGGTCAGTATTCCCCACATTATTCACAAGACATTAAAGTGACAGTATTCCAACAGTATTCCTTCTGCCAGGACCATTGAACTGGGACAGAGATAATGTCTTCTCTATAAAGTTATTTTAATGCAAACTACACCAAACTAGGACACTTGTAGATCTCTTTGTGAATTGTGATTTTGGGCTATAGAAATGAAATTGACTTGACTTGACTCAGTTACCCGGCATTTGGACTGAAAACAGTACTGTGTTAAAAATATTCAAAGGCAGGTTGGAACCTGGTGGTTCAGGCATGGCTCATCTGTTACCCCAGCGTTGCTAATGCAGCCGTAGCCCATGTCTGGCATGCATAAGCACACAGTATAATTAATAGGTGAAAGTAGAGTTAGCCTATGGACATTATTGTCATTGGTTAGCTTTTGCACTTACACTTTGTCAGTGATTATAGCTAAATATGTTTTGATTGACATTTTTAAGCACTATCCACTATGATGGATAAATTAGTTTTGCCAAATTAACACATAAATTAAATCTATAATAGTAGTAGTAAAAAAAAAAAAAAAGTAAAAATCAGTCTTCTAGAAACAAAATTACTAGTTTCATGTTAGCGTGGTTGTTGTCTTGATTATTTGATAAGAAATGCTAAGTAGTTGGATAGCTAACAGCAAGAAACTGTAAATTCAAAAGAGCTGTTTTTCAATCTTAAATTGGTTACTTTCAGCACATTCAAACTAAAGAACAAAGATTATGCGGCATCCAGTGCGTTATTTGTGAAGTTTTAACAACTACCTGGTACTTTACTGACCAGGGGTGCGTTTTCCCAAAAGCATCGTGGCTAACTACGGTAGCAACTTCCGTGGTTGGGTTTCCTAAAACCCTAGTTCAAACTACGGAGGTAACTACGTTGGTAACTTTCATGGTAAGAACCATCGTTAAGCAAAGCCAGTGTTTCCTGAAACTGCAGTTCCGACGAACGTTCGCAACCACTGTTGTTAAGTAGTGTATAGTTCGAACTACAGCTCCTGACCTGTGGTTAGAAGTTTAGTGCATGGTGACTACGTCATAGATGGTGAAAATGCAGTGTAAAGAGGTGGTTGTAATGTGAGTAAGCAGGAAATGTTCGATAATCTTGCAGTACAAACATCATTTCGTAAAAAGAATTTTTTTGAAAATGTAGTTGTTTGTACTCGTATTGAATTTGGCAGGTCACGGTAGGGTTGCATCGATTAGGGGCTAATAGTGTAGACCATCTCCAAACAGCAGGTGATTTCTCACAGATTACCCACCGGTTCACAATTACTTAATTTACTACATGAGTCACCCGAAAGTAAAAGGAGAAAGCAGAACATGAGAAAGACAAGTCTTTTAATATTTCCTTCATGTGTAGTGCGTACATTTCTAGGCTATGGAGAAGATGGGTGTTCTCTACTCTTCCTTACAAACAAAGGGACAGCATATCTTTATGGTAAAGAACTTTAAAAGAACTCATGGGTTTCAGACCCATGTCTGTTTATGCAACAGATTACACTTTCAAGCTCACCCATCTCTCACACTGAGCTATTCTCAAGCCTTGATGGGCATAGTCGGTCCAGGTATTCATAATAGTGTTAAAGTGTTCAAAAGAAGCTTTGCAGATTGGACCTATTTTAATAAATGTTTTGCAGTTGCTAATAGTTCTTCATTTTGTCTTCAGTGAAGAAATATTGCTATTTCTATAAAAAGTTATAGGCTAAATAAAATATTTAGGTTATATTATATTGTTGATTTTATTAATATTATTGTTTTTCTTGTTATTACTGGCAGCCTACATGACTACAATATGAAAAGCCAAAATAAAAATTTTGTACAATAATGTAACTTAATATCGGTCATATTTACGAATAATATCAAAGTTTGAGATTTTTGTAAGTTTCCGGCTGTGAAAGTCACACCAAGCACATCTGTAAACATTATAGTTCCAACTATGTTGTTTCAAACTAACATGGTTCAAACCATGGCACCAACAAGGTACGACAGTTTTGGGAAACGGACGTACTTCAGATGTTGGTTAGTTTAACAATGCATCATGCCAAGATAGATCAATGCTACCTTCCGTCGTTGTACAGGAAACACACCCCAGGTAAGATTAGCATTGTCAGCTGGAAATGTGCATACTGATAAACAATTACTGTTACTAAATATCAGCATAAAGTACATCTCATAAGAGAACGTTGTCAATTCCTATACTCATTTAAGTAAGTAAAAGGTCCTGGAAACCCTGGATGGCAGACATCAACTGTTCGTTGTGTACTTAAGGCATAATGTTTACTCTCAGAATTACTATAACGTCTGTAAGAAATAAAGTGGGAAGAGAAACCTGGCTCCTGATGCGCAGTTCCTGCCAAACATTTGTCAGGTTGATCGGCTCAGTAGAGACAGAACAGACTTCTGTCAGACTTCGGCAATCTGAAAGCACTGTAAGAGAAAATGGCTGGTTTAAAACTTGGCTACTGTGTATATTTAAGTTAATTTATTGGGATTTTTAAAGGCCAGGAGTTTCTGTAGGGTCTGTAGGGAACACGTAAGCCTTCACTTGTACTTCATTGCCATATATATATATATATATATATATATATATACACACACACACACACAATGTATATACTGACTATCTATGTGTAAATAAAACCTGTGAAATTAGTAAGGGTGTTTACACTTTACATCACTAAATGTGATTGGCCTGTTGTCCCCTGATAACAGGATACCATGGCGACGACCCAGCAGCCCCGTAGTAACCTCGTTGACCCCTGGGATTGGCGAGGAGTCACTTCCTCACTTCCTTCAGGGATTTGCTGTTATCTTGGTCTTCTCATGCGTCTCTGCTCCAGTGGAGACCACGGAGGGACTTGACACACTCTCAGTTACATTTCTGTTTTGTTTCTGTTTTTGTATAGAAATGGAATTGTATGATT